TTTGTGCAGAGAGTCTTACCCACAGCAGATACTTAAGAGTTTGCCATATCATAACTTAGATTTTTGTCCATTATGACCAGACCTTTCAAATATGAAGTTCATAGTTAACCATTTGTTAATTTAAGAGGCTGGCTACTCTCAATGAAGTGAAATATCTGGCTGATTAATAAGCTAACAAGATAAGGGGTATAGTAAAATCAATTTTTAATTTCATATTTAAAAACCCTATTCTAATAATTAACTATTTTTCAAATTTTTCTTTCTTGATCATTTTGATTCTCTCCAAACTTAGATCATTTAAATAGAGTAGAGTAAGGGTCAGCACACATTTCTTAAAGACCAGTATAATAAATATGTAAGGCTTTGTGGACAAGAGACAAAACTGATCTGTTGCAACTACTCAACTTTGCCACTGTAACACAAAAGCAGTCACAGACAATACATAAACAAGTATAGCTCAAACAAAAACAGGTAGTGAGCTAGATTTGGCCCACAGATGGTCAACTCCTGAACCAGAGCCTTTTACTGGTAAATTAAGTTAATGAGAAAATTTCTTCTTAAATTCATCTTTATGCATTAGAACTTCAATGAACCTTAACAGTCAATACCACAAATTACTCTCAAAATCAAAGGAGACAATGCTTAAAATAGTTTTGCTACTCACAACACTACCAAAAATCAACTTTCAATCATTAACATTATTTCAAACTATATTTACTATAACTCTTAGAGCTTCCCCACTTTAGAACCTAAAGGAAAGTGCTAAATATTTTAATGCTATTACACTGTATAAATATCCAGCCTAAGTGTCAATTAACTGTCAGGTTTCATAACAGACTTTAGGAAATTTATCTTTTGAAAATCTTAATTCTTCAATTTGTAACAATGGAGCTATGGTTCAAGCTTTATTAATAGTCCATCATATTATCCTTACACCCTCTCATTTCATGGCCTTTGAAACAAAGGGCATTGGAACTGGAGAATCTCCAAGTGCCCTTCTAGGTCTAACTTTCCCTATAAGGATTGACATCAAACACAAGAGCTCAATGATCTTTGAAATGTTTCTGCCTTTGCTGGGTTTTCTACACCAGCAAAGGCAGATCAGTACCTGGGCACATCAGATTTTGAATATCAAAAGTTCAGAACACTTATAGGTACTCTTTAAAAAAAAGAAACAATTAAGAAAACTTCTTACCAAAAATTTATTTTCTGCTTAAAACCCAAGTTTTTGTTTTTTTTTTTCCCAAAGTTACTAAAGGTTTTGAGTCTATGAAAGTTCAGTTTTGCTGAACTGATAACGTCAAAATCTTTATCACAACTCACCCCTAACTCTCTCTATATATAAAAATTAACTTAAAATAAATTAATAATACAAATATAAAAACTAAAATAAAAATGTTAGAAGAAAACATGTATAAATATTCAAAAAAATCTTTATCAGCTATTACTTAAGTCAGGGTGATTTAAGTATAAAATATGTGAATCCTGAGAAAGAAGATACTTACTAAAAAGGGCTCCAGTGGTTAACTGGGCTCAAATTTAAAACAAAAACAAAAACAAAACAAAAAAAAACAAAAACCCAGCCTAGCAGCCATTTCTACACAGGGGCCTCTCATGCAAACTGCACCTCAGGAAAAAGCCTGCACTGAAGTACCTGTCTCTAACTGAACTGCCTGCCTGCACTGTGTTTCTGCCATCTGAGCTAGCCCTCATAAAGGAGTTCCTGGAATCCTATTTCAACCAATAGGAGTGAGGCTTTCCCTATCCAATAGGAGCTGAGCAACTATATTTCTATCAACATCTCCACTGATCAATCAGAGTGGCTCCTTTCTGATTAATCAGGACAGTGCCTTTTGAACCAATCAAACTGCAAAGATTTGGAGTCCTCATTTGCATGAGGAGGGACCAATCAGAGACCAGGGGTGAGGACTTCTGTCTATATAACTCAGCTCCCCTCTGGCTCTGGGAGCACCATTTCCCTTCCCACTGATGACTGTGTTTCCCTGACTGAACTGGAAACGCCAAATATATCTCACTAGAGCAGAGCAGACCAGCACAGGCCAGAGCAGACTGGGAGAGAGCACACCAGCAAGTACCAGAGCAGAGTTATCTATCCAGACAGCGGCCTGGCCCAAAGGCTGCCTGGCCCCAGGGACACCTCACAGCCATGCTGTTTACAGAGCCATGCTGTATCATAGTTGAGTTGGTTTGCACAGAATAGTTTCCTTCTTCACCACATCCCAAATTAGGGATTACTGTTGGCATTGAATTGATGCCAATAGACATTGGTTGACAAATATATATGAGAAGAGACTAGTTAGAATATTCCACTAAGGAAGTTAATAAAGAACTATCAGGCTGCCCTGGCCGGTTTGGCTCAGCGGTTAGAGCGTCGGCCTGCGGTCCGAAGAGACCCGGGTTCGGTTCCCGCTAAGGGCACGTACTTCGGTTGCAGTTTGTCCCCGGCCCTGGTTGGTCGTGCGGGTGGCAGCCACTCGATGTGTCCCTTTCGCGTCGATGTTTCTCTCTCTCTCTCTCTCTCTCTCTCTCTCTCTCTCTCTCTCTCCCTCCCTCCCTCCCTCCCTCCCACTCTATCTGTACAAAAATTGGAAAAATGTCCTCGGGTGAGGATTAAAAAAAAAAAAAAAAAAGAACTATCAGGCTGGTTAATAAGCTTAACTAAATGTCAGACCTAATAAAGGGACAATTTTTATCAGTCTTCTATATACATGTTGCATATTTCATGATAAAAAAAATCACCATACAGTTACAAAGCTTTCTTTGCTGCATGTTAATATGTGTAGTTTTCTTACTATACCTAAAATAATTAAGAATGCACAGATCAGGATTTCACTTAGGAAAAGAGAACTCCCTGAAGTTTCATTACTTTAACCCAAATAAATGTATTTGTACAATCAAAATATGAAATACATCCCCACTAGTCAACAAGGTATGCTATGCCACAAGGTAAATGATTAGGAGGACCAAGATCATAGCAAATAAAAAGCTAGGCTTTTTAATGAATCACTTCAGGACTTTCTGAATACTAACAAAGTAAACACTCACCCTTTTGCCATTTTAAAAGGCACTTCCCATTAAATACACTAGCTTCTTTTCAAATAGAGAGAGAGAAGGAATCCAAGCATCTTATAAACTAGCAATGAAATTGGTTTTATCTAACAATTAAAATACAGTCTCTAGACCTGAAGCAAAACAACTTAAAAAACACTCAGAGAAAGAGTATGCAAAGAATTTTCAAATACTTGGCTATTCTCAGTTTTAAGACTCTTAAAACATTCCCCTAATGAATCTCTAGGATATGCTGACTATACCTGAGAAACTAGGAATATAAATTGTACTGGGCAGAAAAATAGCTGTCTTTCTTTTTTGTTTTCAAGTGGGGGTGAAGGGTAAGGGTAGGGTGTGTGTGTTTTGGTGGTGGGGGTGGAATAGATAAAGTTAAGGGATAATTAAGCAATTACTCCAGCTACTTTGCACATGCTATTGTTAAGGGAAAAGGTTGTTTTTAGTGGCAGAATTTTGGAAAACAGTCCCCTCTTCTACCAACAATGGCTTGGTACATTTCCAGATATGCCAAGTGATGTTATGTATTCCTTGGTAGTTATCTGCCTAAAAAAAAATAAGTTTCAAATACAGAAAAGGTTAGAACCTCAGTTTTTATTTAAAGGTCTTTTCTATAAAGTAATACAATTGCTTCTATTAGTATAAGAAACTAGAGTTGCAGTACCAGTTCTTGATTTATGTATGTAAACATATAAAACCTACGAGGACAGAAAAACAGGAACTGAAAGGAGAAAAAATACTTTTTAAAAGACTAAAAAAGCCCTGGCCGGTTTTGCTCAGTGGTTAGAGCATCGGCCTGCAGTACCGAGAGAACCGGGTTCGGTTCCCGCTAAGGGCACGTACCTCGGTTGCAGTTTGTCCCCGGCCCTGGTTGGTCGTGCGGGTGGCAGCCACTCGATGTGTCCCTTTCACATCGATGTTTCTCTCTCTCTCTCTTCCTCTCTTTCCCTCCTACTCTACCTGAACAAAAAAAAAAAAAAGGAAAAAAAATAAAAAAATAAAAAATAAAAGACTAAAAGAAAGCTATTTCCAAACTAAAATACAGCAATAAAGATTTTTAAATTATGTAAAGTTCTATTAAAATATTGCCCTGGCCGGTTTGGCTCAGCGGTTAGAGCGTCGGCCTGCGGTCCGGAGAGACCCGGGTTCGGTTCCCGCTAAGGGCGCGTACTTCGGTTGCAGTTTGTCCCCGGCCCTGATTGGTCGTGCGGGTGGCAGCCACTCGATGTGTCCCTTTCGCGTCGATGTTTCTCTCTCTCTCTCTCTGTTCCTCTCTCTCCCTCCCACTCTACCTGAACAAAAAAATGGAAAAATGTCCTCGGGTGAGGATAAAAAAAAAAAAAAAAAATCTCCCAAGGATACACTATGATGATTTGTATTTTGAACAGGTCACTCACTAATCAAGTCAAGAAAATAAGGCAGAGTCCTCTCACACATGGTTCCCCCATCCAGACCTTTGGTTTCTTGAAACCATTCTAGGTCTAGATCTAAAGACAGAAGATAAAAGATGTTGGAAACTGGTGTCTTGTATCTCAATCACTTTCAGGTTATCTATTATACACAGAGATTAACTGTACTTGGTGATTAAAACCATTCAGGGCTGCCCTGGCCGGTTTGGCTCAGTGGTTAGAGCGTCGGCCTGCGGTCCGGAGAGACCCGGGTTCGGTTCCCGCTAAGGGCACGTACCTTGGTTGCAGTTTGTCCCCGGCCCTGGTTGGGTTGTGTGGGTGGCAACCACTCGATGTGTCGCTTTCATGTCGATGTTTTTCTCTCTCTCTCTCCCTCGCACTCTATCTGAACAAAATATCGAAAAATGTCCTCGGGTGAGGATTAAAAAAAAAAAAAAAAAAACATTCAGGGCTGACATCAGAGAATCAGTACACTCTGACCACAACTGCTTGGCTAGCTGTGCTTACCTGAATAGCTGCAAATGCCAGTGCTGCCCAGATAACATGCATCATTATTTCTTGTAGCTTCTTAACAACTAGAGCCTCACACCCCTGAAACATATAAAGTCATCCTTATTAGATGTCTTTTTTAAAACTAAAGCTACAAGGTCATATACTATTAACTCATTGGCAGAAATGTAAATAACAGAAGAAACTAAAAGAAAGAAAAAGAAGACAATGTGTTTTAAAATAATTTACAGTAAAATAAAATAGCTTTAAAGACCAGCACAAGTCATGGAGATGTAAACTACAGTAAAGGGAATATAGTCAGTAATACTGTAATAACTATGTATGGTGTCAGGTACTTTCTAGGATTATTGGGGAGATCACTTAGTAAGCTATAGAAATGTCTAACCACTATACAACATATCTGAAACTAATATAATATTGTATGTCAACTGTAATTTAAAAACAATTTTTAAATTAAAAAAGACACAACTAGCCCTGGCTGGTTTGGCTCAGCAGTAGAGCGTCGGCCTGTGGTCCATAGAGACCCGGGTTCAGTTCCCGCTAAGGGCATGTATCTCAGTTGCAGTTGATCCCTGGCTCTGGTTGGGTCGTGCGGGTGGCAACCACTCGATGTGTCCCTTTCACGTGGATGTTTCTCTCTCTCTCTCTCTCTCTCTCTCTCTCTCTCTCTCTCTCTCCCTCCCTCCCTCCTCCCTCCCTCCCGACTCTATCTGAACAAAAAATGGAAAAATGTCCTCGGGTAAGAATTAAAAAAAAAAAAAAAAGACACAACTATAGTCTGTATATATCATTTGAATCCTTAAAAGAAAAAGGAATTGAAAGCAGGGAATAAAAAGAATATTTGTATACCTGTTTTCACACTCGCATTATTTACAATAGCCAAAAGAAAGAAGCAACCCAAGTGTCCATCCACAAATGAATGGATAAGCAAAATGTGATCTATCTATACAATGGGATATTATTCAGTCTCAAACGGAATAACATTGTGACTCATGCTACAACATGGATGAACCCTAAAGACATTATTCTGAGTAAAAAAATAAGCCAGGCACAATACAAGTATTGTATGATTCCTTATATAAGATACCTAAAATAGTCAAATTCATAGACACAGAGAGTAGAATGGTTTCCAGGGACTGGGGGAGGACAGAATGGAGAGTTGTTATTTAATGGGTATATAATTTCAATGTGCAAGAAAGAAAGAGTTCTGGAGACGGGTGGTGGTGAATATACTCAGTACTATTGAACTGTACACTTAAAAATGGTTATGATGGCTTTTAAAATAAAAAGACAAGCAACAGATGGTAGAAAAGAAGTTCCGGGTAGAGAAGATTCACAGAGAAAAACGGGTTACCAGGCTAGATTCAAGTTTTGGCCAAGAAACTGAACTTACCTCAGCATAGAGGTTGGAGGAGTGGGCCAGACTGCCATTACAGCTGCTGGCTGTCTCTCTGCAGCAGCTAAGAGGGACACTCTGATTTTTGGTTTCTTTGAACCAGTCTGTATTTTCCCAGTCTGAGTAGTTGTGAATTCCACAACAGTGCAGCTATTAGAAAGGAGAATAGAGGGATTACTCCTCATAGAATCCATATACTTGTGTGAACTTTAGAGTTCTGTGTACTGCAGAGCTTTAAGTTATTCTAGAATAATGATATCCCAATAGAATTTTCTGCATTGATAGAAATGTTCTATGTCTGCATGTCCAACATGGTAGCCACTAGCCACTTAAGGCTATTGAGCACTTAAAATGTGGTTGGTGTGACTAAGGAACTAAAATTTTAATTTATATTTAAATAGCCACATATGGCTAGTGGCTCTAGAACCTCCATATGAAGAGCACACTGTCCACAAGAGGTAGTTTATAGATAAGAAAAATCTCCCTATCTTACATGTGAAATACCTGATTCTGACTTAAATACTATTTCCAATGACAGAGTGTTTAAAATGTTTTGTCTAAAATGTATGTGACTTGCTTTAAGATAACATTGCAAAAGATATGTGGGGGTAATAGATAAAACAAGATTGACAAAAAGCTGACAATTTTGGAGGTGGGTTTATGGACATAAATATCTATTATACTATTCTTTCTATCTCCAAGTATGTTTTAAATTGTTCATATTTTTTTACAGTTTTGTCAGCTACCTTTACTGGTCTTGCTTTTATAAGGTATATGAAGAAGATCTCCCATCTCCTCTTAAGTCCATCTGGACTCCTATCTTCCCTGTGACACATACCTCGCTTCCATTATCACCTCTCTGGCTAATTAATTTTTTGGGGAAAAATCAGATGCATTTTATCTGACTTTCACTAGGTGATGGTAAAAAAAAACTTTTCAAGGGTAAAGATAAAAACATTGACCACATAAATCACTGGCAAAAAAAAACAAACATTGACCACATCATGAAATTAACCATGACTGTGAAGGTACATGGCTAATTTACATAATAATAGTGGAGTAAGTTTCACCTTGACCCAACAGTGCTTGCCCCTCAAAAACAAATTCACCTCAAGAGCACTCACCTGTCTCTGTACATAATCAATAGCCCGGCTAGCAGCATCAGGATTGGTTCCATTGTAGGTCTTATACACTTTCTGAATGCTACGGTCAACCTCATTTTCTACCTGAATCAAAACAAACAATTCAGTCCCTCTAAAATATGAGTAAAAGTAATATTAGTCAAGGCTCTAGTCAAATATACCTAAATGGCATATTTACAAAGTGGTCATACATCTCTTTAAATGTCTTATGAGAAAAAGTTTTCTCCCTCCCTGCCTCTATACAGATTCATGTAAAAATTCAGACATTTTATATCACATAGATTAAGCATTCAAAGAAAAGATTGTGTGCAAGATGGCAGGCTAACAACCACTCAAAAGGGAGAAAGCAGTTGAGCCTTGAGATAGACGTCCTAAATTATAAATGGACTGACTGCCCTCTTTATAAAATAAGTTTTCAGTGTAGTCTCAGAAGATCTACTCATTTTCCTTCCCTAAAGGAGGTAAATATAATAACTTAAAAAACCACCACAAGATACATTAGGAAGAAATTATTAGACTTAGCCAAATATGCAAAAGTAATCAGCAGTAAAAAAAAAAAGAAAAAAAAAGAAAAAAAATCAGTCCTTAGAAATGACACTTCCCTACCAATTACTAAAGTGACAAAAAAGTGTCATTTAAAGTTTGTATGTACCCGATTCTCCCTACCCTTTTAAGATGATTAGACTTATTTGGTAATTTTATCAGTGATTTCAGGAGATTATAAAATTGATCCACTGGAGGATTTGTTTAAAAAAACAACAGTTCAGCTAAGTGGAGACCCTGAAGTTCAAGGGGCTGGGAGTGGGCTGGGAGGAGGGCAGGATGGGCCTTCCTATCCAGAGCAACAAGTGACAGCCACAGAGACAAGGAGAAGGATGATTTATAGATTGGCCTGAAGAAGGGATCCTCCCTCTAGTGCAGATATATAGTTTTCTAAAACACAACTAATTTGGAAGAAAAATAAATAAATTCCAAGCTGGTGGCCAATCAAGTGGAAGCTACACTGATGTTCTCCCAGGACAAAACTGGAGTTACAACTAAAAAAAAAATAGAGAGAAAAATCATCCTGAAGAACCAACTGAAGATTAGCTGGAGAGAACCCTTACAACCAAGGATGTAAAGAGGAGACCATATCAAGACTGATAGGAAGTGTGGAGGCATGAGACAGCTGGCTGGGCACCCATGGGCAGCAGCTGATGTTCTGGAGGGAAATCTCAGCTGTCAGAGGTTCCCCTTGAGAAGTCTGAGGACTAAACTCCAAGCTGGGCTATCCAGCTCAGAGTAGCAGAACTGGAAAAGGTGTCCACATAACATCTAGCTGTGAAAAGCACTAGAGGTTCTGTACAGCAGGGAGAGATGTCTAGAAACACAGGTACCCTCTTAAAGAGCCAATGTACTAAATTTTATTTCCAGCCACTCACCTTGGGCTCCAGCAGAGGGAGGGTAGAGTGGACTAGAACTGCATGAGGAGAGTCTGGGGTTGGTCGCTCTGGGGAGAGAGCTGAAAGGACAAATGCAAGAATCCCTGTGCTGAGTCATTCCCCTATGCTGTAGAAGCCATCTTTCTCAGGCAGAGCTTTCCCATCAAAGCAGCTTTAGCCTGGGGGAAAGCAACTGCTACACCCATTGGAAACCATTTCTTCTTCACCCTGTGGAATTTATGCCCTGCTGAAGACTACAACCTGAGGCTCATTAAGTGACTGAGACTAACAGTCAGACTTCAGGCAGAGGCAGATCTCTGGGGGCCTTAAGTCTTTGCCTGACCTTCTCCTTGGCTTGCAGCTAGTAAAAGCAGAGCTTGGTGTGAAGTTTGGTCCTTTCCACATGCACCCAGCCCCAGCAGGGGGAGCCACAAGCTGTGAATCACTGATAGCTCCAAATAAAGTCCTTAGGGCCAGTCACAAACATCATCTGACATTGGCTTGCACCAGGGATCCTCTGAAGAGGTCCAAAACCATTAAATTGAGTGGCCAGCTCCAGACAACAACAGAGTAAGAGCTAATAAGCTTCACAAGCAGTATATCCAAGGGAGATATTAGCAGTCTCCAAACCCTGCTAAGGCAAATTCTGCTTCATTTGATAAGCTCCTGCACACCAGCCTGCATGCTGTATTGGAGGTTAAGTCTCATAGTCAGCCAGACTGAGGGTTGAGCCCATGCATGAATGAACAAATAGCAATCAAGAGTCAACTACAAAAGGAGGGCCCACACAATGTGTACAAGGGACATTATTAGACCACCCAGGTCTGGTGATCAGGGAGATTGTGTTCAGTGTCCCACAGGTTACCTACTACATTAAAGCCACCCTACCAAGACTGGGAGTCATGGAAGATATACCTAACACATAGAAACAAACCCAAACAGGCAGCCAAAATGGGATGACAAAGAAACAAGCCCCAAATGAAAAACCAAAAGAATTCTCCAGAATAAAGCTAAATAAACTAGAGATAAGCAATGGAGATAAAGTTCAGAGTAATGATTATAAGGATGCTCAACAGCATGAAAGAAGACATAGAAACTATGGAAAACAACCAATTGGAAATAAAGAATGACAGCAGAAATAAAGAATACCTGGAAGGAATAAACAGCAGTGTAGAGGAAGATGATGACTATATCAGCAAATTAGAAGGCAGCGTAGGGAAAAAAAAATCACTGAATCAGAGAACCAAAAAGTAAAAACAATTTTAAAAACAGAAGGACTTTTACGGGAATGGTGGAACAGCATGAAATGTAACAATATCCACATCATCGCAATATTAGAAGGAGAAGAAAGTAAGGCATAGAGAACCTGTTTGAAGAAATAATGGCAGAAAACTTCCCTAACCCAGTGAAGGAAAAAGTCACACAAGTTCAGGAAGCGTTGAAAGTCCCAAGCAAGAAGAACCCAGGGAGAGAGGAACATGGCAGCGGAGTGAATGGAAACTACACATATCCAAACTGGACCAAACTGGAATTACAACGAAAATAAAGACAAATCACCAGGATAAGGCAACCGAAAAGCAGCTTGGAGGACCACATAACCAGGGACACTGACTCAATTCTGGTAGGCTTGCGAAGACGCGACAGGGGGCCAGGAGCCTATGGTCTGTAGCGGCCTGGGCTGGTACCTGTGGCAGTCTCGGCTGGGACCTGTGCCCTCGGCTGGGAGCTGCGCCCTCGGCTGGAACCTGGGGCCCCGGCTGGGACCTGCGGCCCCGGCTGGGAGCTGTGGCCTCGGCTAGGACATGCGGCCTCGGCTGGGACCTGCGGCCTCGGCTAGAACCTGCAGGCTTGGCTGGGACCTGCGGAGGCCACGGCTGGAACCTGCGACCTCAGCTGGGACCTGTAGGCTCTGCTGGGAGCTGCGCCCTCGGCTAGGTGCTATGCCCTCAGCTGGGAGCTGCCACAGCCTCAGCTGGGAGTAACGGCCTTGGCTGGGAGCGGGACGCTCAGGTTAAAGACCCAAGCAGCTCCACAGTGCAGAGCCGGGACAGAGGATAAATTAGCAGCAGCAACTCACCTTGGCCTCTGGCAGAGGGAGGGCAGACTGGACTGGAACTGCATGGGGACACTTGGGATTTGGAGGGTGCTCAGAGCTTTTACTGAGTTGCAGCCACACAGGACTGTGGTCATCTTACTCCTTCCCAGGGCCCTGGAAAGAGGTGGCGGCCCTTCCCTCTGAGATTCAACTGCCCATCCAGGTGGCCATTAAAATGCTAATTGAGGCCAATTAACAACCAGCATCTGCCCCACCTTTGGGAAATCCTCTTATACTGAGCACCTGAGGGAGTTTTTCATTCAACTCAGAAACCAAGGTTCTTCAGGTGACCACTACTAATAGCCTCCAGGCAAAAAAGCTGGAGGATAACTACCATTCCCTGGGCTAGCAACTCTAACTTGAAAAGTAAGACTTGACAGTGGTGTTTAAAGTGGGTCCTCCCTGCCTCATCCAAACACAGAAGAGGGAGCTACAAACAGCAGAAAACCAAAACCCACAGGGAAAATTGGCAGGCTCCAAAGCCCACTGTGATAGCCAAAATGGTGAAACACAGAAACAAAAGCCAAATGAAAGAACAAAAGACCTCTACCAAAGATGAGATAAATGACGTGCAGTTAAGCAACTTAACAGAACTAGAATTCAGAGCCATGATCTTGAGAAAGCTCAACAGCATGTGTAAGGACATGAGCACCATGAGTAAGACATAGAAATGGGAAAAATCAACCAGTTGGAAATTAAAAACCACCAAGAAGAAATGAAGAATGACATATCAGAAATAAAAAACACATTGGAAAGTCTAAATAGCAGAGTAGAGGAAGCTGAGGACCGGAACAGTGAATTAGAAGATAGGGTAGAAAAAATCAAACAATCAGAAAACCAAAAAAAAAAAAAAAAAAAATTGAAAAGCAGAAAGAAAGCTTAAGAAAACTGTGGGACAACTGGAAATATAATATCATTCGCATCATAGGAGTCCCCAAAGAAGAAGAAAATGAGCAAGGATAGAGAATATATTTGAAGAAATAGTGACAGAAAACTCCCCTAATATGGTGAAGGAAGAAGGCATTCGTGTTCAAGAAGCACAGAGAGCCCCAAGTAAGAAGAACCCACACAGGCCCACACCAAGACACATAGTAATCAAACTGCCAAAAATTAAAGACAAAGAGAAAATCCTTAAAGCAACAAGAGAGAATCAACAGGTTACCTACAAAAGAAACCCTATAAGGCTCTCAGCTAACTTCTCACAAGAAACAAAACAGGCCAGAAAGGAATGGCATGAGGAAATCAAGGTCATGAAAAACAAGGACCTGAATCCAAGAATACTCTACCTAGCAAGGCTATCATTCAAAATAGAAGGTCAAATAAAGAGCTTTCCAGACCAAAAAAAAGGCTAAGGGAATACATTAGCACCAAACCAGCACTGCAAGAAATGTTAAAAGGACTGCTGTAATTAGCAGGAGAAAAAGGAAGGAAAATATAACCACACTAAACAAAAATGGCAATGAATAAGTACATATCAATAATCACCTTAAATGTAAATGGATTGAATGCTCCCATAGAAAGACACAGAGTAGCGGATTGGATCAAAAAGCATGACTCATCTATATGTT